GTAAGTCTAGCTAAGCCCAAGCCTAAACCCAAGCTTAAACTTTTGAGAGTATAACTCACAGGAAAAACTTGAACGCCTTGGGCGTGTATCCATTATCAGTAAACGCCTGGGCGAGGAACTCCTCGGTGATGGTGGGCGGGATGTTTGATAGATGGAGGGTGGATGATGGTGGGTAGATGTTCATGTAGTTCTTGCTGCCCGGCTTCTTGAAGCGGTGCAGGGGTGAGTGGGCGTAGTCGCGGGTGAGTCCGGCGTCCGGTTGGCCTTCCTGAAAGTGAGAATAAACTTCAGCCGGGTTTTTCTGATAATTTTGCGAATTAAAGGGGCTAGGAAGCTTGGCGTGCGAGCCTGTTCCCGGGTACGTATGGCGAACAGGAGCATTTATTAGGTCTAATATTTCCTAAGAAGCGAACCTTTGGCATCTGAACCGTAGTATGCTTTGAAGCAGCGACGCGAATCACCTTCTCATTCCATTTGATCTTGTCCGAGGTGTTGAATGGCTAAAAAGAGCTTAATTTATTGTTTTTCTTAGTTTGTAGTCCGTAAAAATCGTATCGACTGGAATCTTGACAGCTACGCGATGCTCCAAATGCGCATGTAAATATACGCTTTTTCTCGCGCGGGATCACCAGAAGTTGCGCCTGCTGCGGCTCGGAGTACTGGATGAGGGCGTTGTCCTTCTTGTTGAACAGGATCTTCACGCGCAACACATCGCCGTAGACGCCTACAGGGTACAATAACGAGGCCAGGATTTGGGAAAATGGGCCCCGGGTGGAAAGATCCCAACACACAAAAGGGATTAGAGGCCGGAAATTTTTTGGGTATAGAAGCTAGGCGTAGCTCGATGTTTGGCATAAGATTTTGATGTGTCAGCGTCGCTTTAGAATTAAAGCAATAGTTAATCCCTAAGTCCAATGCCGGAGCCTTAGCCCGCGCTGAAGCTCATACCTGAAAGCCTATGCCCGTGCCCGGAGCATAAACTTAAGCCTCCAGCTGAGCCTTGAGCATAAGCACAAGACTAAGTTGAAGCTTAAGCCTAAGCCGAAACCCCTTACCTAAAAACCCCAAATTCTAGCAAGTTGTGATTACCAGCTACTCATAATAATTCAAAACAACTCTCCCAAATAGCCGTTGCGTGTCTTGTGGCGGAGAATGAGTTGTTAAAGGTATCGACGGTATAAAAAAACTTGGAGGAAACGGCTAGAGGGGCGGAAAATACAGTGTGTGCGTGGATTGGCTTGGTGTGAAGGGGTTACTGTAGCCCTTAGGGGATAGCGGAGAAATGGTTGGACGTACCGAAGAGGGTTGAAGAGGGCGTCCGGGGTGGCCTTCTGAAACGGAAAAGATAGAAATAGGAATAGAGAGAAATATAGGGGGGCGGAAGAGGGAATAGCTGAAGGAGGCAGAGAATTAGGGAGCTGAGAGATGGAAAAGGTAAGGAGGTAAATGATGCTTTCATAGTTTGGTAAGCTATAGGAGGTGAGAGAGAAAGCCCAGGAAAGTACGGTGGCCTTCGCTGGTTTAGGGAAAAAGAACTGAAAACTGTCAAGACTGTTCCACTCTCTTTGTCTTTCACTCTCAAGCTAGCTCTCTCTCTATCTCTCTCTCACTCTCTTTCTCTTTCTCTCTCTCTCCCTCTCTCTCTCTCTCTCTCTCCTCTCTCGCTCTCTGTCTCTGTCTCTCTGTCTCTCCAGCTCTCTCACTGTCACTATCTCTCTCTCTATATCCTATCTCTCGCTCTCTCGTCTTTTCTTCCCTTCTCTCTGTTTCTCTCCTTTCCTTCGCGCTCTCTTTCGAATCTCTCTATCTCTCTCTCTCTCTCTCTCTCTCTCTCTCTCTCTCTCTCTCTCTCTTTCTCTCTCTTCTCTCTCTCTATCTCGCTCTCTTATGAATATTACAAAAACCAACCAGCCACAGCACTAAACACTCGCTACAGTCAAAAGACAGCAAAAAATAGCTGGTGTGAACGCAAAATCGGACTAGAACAGGACAGCTAGAGAGAGGGAGGGATGGAGAGAGAACGAGAGATAGTCAGGAAAGAAGGGGTAATGAAGCGGAAGGAGGGCGGCACATTAAAGGGACTTGGAAACACCTCAGCATCAAAATCCACGGAAAACGCAGCCTTCCAAGTCCCTTTAAAGGGGTGGGGAAGACCCGGACACCCACCTGTTCGTCCAAGTTTGACACCAGCACGACGCTCGTCACGTTGAGGAGGGTTACTGGGAAGCTAAAAATGCGTATTGGAAAGCTGATGGAAGTACGGAAAACCCACCGTAGTCCTGTGTTGAGCCCGGTGGGGTTGAGGGCGCCGAGACCGAGGCCAGAAGCAGCACCGAGACTGCTGAGGAACGGCGAGACGGATGAGGCGGCAGCGAGGGTTTCTGAAGGGAAAGATTTGTCAATATCTCTCTCTCTCTCCTCTTTTATCTCTCTCTGCTCTCTCTGTCTCTATCTCTCTTGCTCACTATCGCACTCGCCCTCTCTCTCGATTCTCTCCTCTCTCTTTCTCTCGCTCTTTCTCATATCTCGTTCTCTCTCTCTCTCTCTCTCTCTCTCTCTCTCTCTCTTCTCTCTCTCTCTCTCTCGTTCTCTCTCTCTCTCCCTATCCCGCCAACCGACCACTCGACAACGCTGCTGCCTGCTGTGGTGCGATAAATGCTGTCGGTGTTGCTGACGCGAACGGGAATGCAAATGACGGCAACATCGAGCCGGGCGGAAGATTGGCTGATACTGAAAGAAGCCTACAACCAAGGTAAGTAAAACTCGAGAAAATATCCGAATCAGTTCAAAGCCAAAATACATAATTGTTAGCGTAAACCCTTAAAAACATACCCAGGCTGAGCTGCTGCTCAAGAGTCAGCTCGCCGGACGGCAGATTCGGGTTGGTGTAGTCACGGCTCTTGTCATTGTTGTACTTGACGTTCAGCGTCGCCAATTTGCTGTAGTCTATGCGAAGTGTGCAGCACCGTTGAAGACGTTCTGGAAAAAGAGGGGTTAGGTACATTCAATGAAGCCGAAGCGCTGAAGCCTAAGCCTAAAACTAGACCGAATCCTCAACCCAAGCCAGCGCCTGGACCCAAGCGTAAACCTGAGCCAGGCCTAAGCGTAAGCCAAAGCCTAAACCAACCCTAAGCCAAGCCTAAGCCAAGCCTAAGTTCGCTAAAATTCATTACCTGATTATCAAGCGCCTGTCGCGCCAACTGCGCCGCCCTGGCCTCACTTAGCTGGACGAGGGCTTGGAAAGTATCTAATATAACTTTATTCACCTTTAGGTATCAAAACTAACTGTTTTTGTTGAACGTAATAATCCTGAGCACTTTGCCGAATCGATGAAAAATCTAGAAAAACTCGGAATTCTCATTTTTAATGCGGCAACGTACCTCATATAGTATGTCAAGCGTCACTGGCACCATCATATTTTCAATAATCACCCGGAGGACAGAATTTGGGGCCTGCTGAGTGCCACCCGTGATGTCGAGCTGCGAGGAGCCCGAGCCGCCGACGAGAGACTCTGGAAATTGATGAGTTAGAACTGATTTCAAGTCCTATGATTTTATGATTTATCGAATTTTTTACCAGCCAGAACCATGCCTCTGGCTAAATTTTTCTGGGATTACCTCGAAGGTATCTTAATTTTACCTTATAGTTATTGATGGTTATTAGCTGAAAGTCTTGCGGTCTAAGCCTAAGCCTAAGCCTATGCCTAAGCCTAAGCCTAAGCCTAAGCCTAAGCCTAAGCCTAAGCCTAAGCCTAAGCCTAAGCCTAAGCCTAAGCCTATGCCTAAGCCTAAGCCTAAGCCTAAGCCTAAGCCTAAGCCTAAGCCCTAAGCCTAAGCCTAAGCCCAAGCCTAAGCCTAAGCCTAAGCCTAAGCCTAAGCCCTAAGACTAAGCCTAAGCCTAAGCCTAAGCCTAAGCCTAAGCCTAAGCCTAAGCCTAAGCCTAAGCCTAAGCCTAAGCCTAAGCCTAAGCCTAAGCCTAAGCCTAAGCCTAAGCCAAGCCTAAGCCAAAGCCCAAGCCAAGTCAAGCCGAGCCTAAAAGCTCAAGCGTAAGCCGAGCCTAAGGCCTGCCTAAAGCTAAGCCCTAAGCCTGCGTCTGATCTTCTCCACCCTCTCTTCTACCCTCGGCAACGGTTCTGTGGTGCAGGGGGTGGCTGTGGCGGCTGTTGTGAACAGCGGCCGGCGTGGCCCATTGCGGAAACGTGGGATCGGCAATAACTTGTGCCGCCATAAGTGGATGATGATGTTGCGAGGCGGCTAACTGGTGTCCCTGTTGCTGTAGAACAACGGCTTGTTGCGCGGCTTGCTGAAGGGCTTGGGCTTGGTGGTGGGCGAGGCTGGCACGGCTGAGCCGGGGCTCTTCTCCTGAGCACTCGCCCACTCCACCGATCCACCGCCGCCCAGCCCGCACGAGCCCCGCTTCAGCCCCGCTATCGTATCCCGCGAAGCTGCCCAAGCTGGAGAAGGGGGTTGCGGTAATTGAGGTATATGGTAGAGAAACGAAAAGAGAGTTCGGGAGAGGGAGACAAAGAGAAGCGAAAGAGCGAGAGAGAGAGAGAGAGAGAGAGAGGAGAGAGAGAGAGAGAGGAGAACTTTGGATAATTAAGTCACGAAATAAAAAGGAATGCTAAAATTCGTGTGACCACATTTAATTGATTACGATAGTAATTAATATCTAGATAATCCGAAATTCACCGCCAACGCGGTCATCTACCGGCTAAAATGGGGTGGAAGAGGGGAAGAGGAAAATGCGGAAATCACTAACACGTTATCCCATTTGGCCGATGCGCCGCGCCAGAAACCCCGCAACCAACGAATTCCGGGCCGATCCCATTAACAGGGTGGAGAGGCGGGGTTGGGTCAAGAAATGTACAATTTTGGGGTCTTTTCGGTAGTTTTAAACAGTCTAAAATTGTTTTTTTGATTATTATTTTAAATTTGGGAGGTTGTGGCTCCACACATAGAAGCCTAAACTTGAGCTAAGCCTAAGCTAAGCCCGCCAAGCAGCAAAATAAGCATAAGCCTAACCTGCCGAGCAGAAAATGAGCTTAAGCCTAAACTTATGTCTAAGCCTAGACCTCAGCCTTACCTTAAGCCTAAGCCAAAAACATAAGCCGAGCCTAAGCCTAAGGCTAAGTCCGCCGAGCAGGAGACTAAGCCGAAGCCTAAGTCTAAGTTCAAGCCCTAAGCTAAGCCTGGGCCTAATCTCAAGACCAAGCCATTCCTAAGCCTAAGCCGAAGCCAAGCCAGCTAAGCCTATTAAACCTTAAAATGCCCCAATAGCCAGTACAGTAGCCCGAATATCCCCCACCCGCAGGAGCTATTGATGGAGTGTCAAGGAGCCGTGGGAGCCCCCCGGTGTCCCTAAAGGGGCGCGTCAGATGTGTCATTTTTGTTCAAACAATTCAAAGGGTCCCCCCTCCCTCATCGCCTCGATCGGATCGGCCACCGACACACTGCAAATAGACTCCATCGGCCATCACCCATCAACCCTCCGGTCGACACACTCACTCACACACAACTAAATCCATCTACTCCACCACTAATCATTAAAAGGGATTGAGAGGATTCGAACATTGATTTTTCTGGGATTTGCGTTTTGTGGTTTTGAAACTGACGTTCGGGGATCGGTTTTTGATCGGAGTTTGGTCCTAGATGGTTTTCTAGTTCCGCAAGTGCCAAACGATACATTAATTTCTTTTAAAGGTTTTCGGTATCGACATTGATGCTCATAAAATCGATTTCTGGCCAAAACTAGTTTTTGATGTTTGGCTTGCCTCGCCAGATTTTGTAGGGTTTCTAGCGGTTCAATGAGCTATTCCGCGTTTTTACAAGAAAGGCAAAACATATGAATTTTGCTGACGTAACTTAGATTGGGTAATTTGTTTAGCCGCCTCCGCGACACGCAACGCGCCGGCTGCGTGACGACCCTGAGAACTACTACGTTACGCAATAAAAATCCAGTGAAAAACTCTGCAAGCCATAGCCTAGAATCAATAAAGATTAAAAAAATATTTTTAAAGTTGATTTCACTCGACGTTTGCGAGTTGCAGTTATGAACAGGGCCAAAAATTAGTTTTCTATACGAAAAAGAAAGAAGAACCTGGACGTCTCAGAAAACCTTGACCAAACCGAAAGCCAAAAACTTCCACCAAAGCTACGTTGTAGCCTGGTTCTACTCAAACCCACAAAACCGGAAGTGCAAACAGGTGTATCTCGTTTCAAGGAACAGCGACCATCATCTGGCCATGATGAGGGGCGGAGATCGCCGAGAAGGGACATTGATTTCCGAGGTTTTTAGGGGGGCACCGAGAGGATAGCAAAAGGGGGCAGAGGAAGGGGTTGTCGAGTGTGCCGGGACGGGGGCACAAATCCGACAGGTTTCTGATGGTTCGGCCACAACCATGTCCGGCCATCATCATCATCAACATTGGTATATCGGGGATGGGATAATGGCCAAAGGTCGAAATTCGGACATTTTAAAGGGAATAAAAGGGTGCGAATCGAGCCCGGGATCGACTACGTCTCGACAGCTACGTGCAGCTCCGAACCGCGCTTTGTCAAATCTACTAACTGGTTTTAACTAGAACTTTGAAACCAAAACTTAAAACCTCGAAAATTGAATGATTTAAAGATTCCAAAAGCGTAAGGGGGTGGTTTAAAGGTGTCAAGAACACGCGAATCGACCTGTGTGATCGACTAGGGCTCGTCAGCTACGAGACGCTATTACGCGTAAACAATGCCGCCAGCGCCAGAAAATGCCCAAATTTAGCGATTTAAAGGGCTGTTCAGTACGAAAATCGAGCTCCTGGTTCGACTAGGTCTAGATATTTACGAGGTGCGCCAAATGACGTTTTAAACGCTTTTTTAGCGAATTTCTTTTCTTTCTTTACGCTCTTTGTAATATCCCGTAGCCTACGAGACTTTGCGACTTGGTCCCCTGTAAACATAAGTTTTGGAATTCTAGTCCCTTTAAAGGGATAGTGACAGCAATCTGAATAAGCTAAAAACCAGCCGCAAAAGAAGTTTAAAATCCCATAGAAAAATCGAAAATCGCCGTCGATTCCTCGGCAAAAATGCAGGTAGGGCGCATCTTAAGAGCCCATGAAATTGCCCTTTCCCCCCTTTCCCCTCCTGCCCATCCCATGAAATCCAACAATACAAGCCGGCCGTTTTGGAGGAGGGGAATGGGTGTGGTAGATGGGTCAATATGGAAAAATTCAGGGTATCCGGATGAAAGAAAAATTTTTCAGGCGTAATTATGAGTATTTTTTCCGGATAGGAACTGTAGCTTAAAGATCTGAAAATCATGAAAAAGCGGCTAGAAAAGTTATTAATGTTGCTTCAGAGCGCTAAAACGGCAGCTTTTGGAAGTTTTTCCCTGGTCTCAAAGAAATAGCTTGCCAGTTTTCAGATAGTTATTGGCTAATTGCCAAAGATCAGATCATCTGCTGCCTTTCCAATTCCTTTAAACCGAAATCCCAACCCCTACGAATCAATCCTATCGACGGCCGGCATGCACACAAGCCGGTAGTCAAAGCCAAAGCAAAGTGGAGTCGTCTTCCGTCAAACGGAAGGGAGGGGACAGAAAAGAGGGGGGCCGACCATCGGGATCTAATGAGCGTGTATAATGCGAATTCGCGCGCGACTACTTTCCCGTTTGTCTGTCTGTCTGTGTTTGTATGTATGTCTGTCTGCCTTCCCGACAGCCATTCCGGCTGCCGGGCAAAAAGCTCTTCCCTCTCTCTCTCTCTGCTTTCTAAAACGCGACTTCTTACAGCAGCACCACATATCTCTCTCCCTCTCTCTCTCTCTCTCTCTCTCTCTCTCTCCACCCAGCCACAACATTTTATGAGGTATGAGCTCCGACCGATTTTGTGGTACAGATAGAACACGGCCAACTGGTTTCCTATAAAGTGAGACTTGGCAAGGTATGGTTCTTAAGGTAAGAGGTGATGTTGCTTTTGCAGTATCGGGGGGGGACGGGAGGTTTTTTATGTACGTCTAGAAAAACCTAATAAGGTGAAATTGATTATTTAAATACCGTTCTTCGTAAAATTTAGCTATATTTTAAGGGAAAAGCTCCGGAAGCAACGAAATTCGAAGTTTCCGTCAAAAACCAATTTTAGGAATTATTGTAAAATACGCTTTTCGCGTTTAGTAATTATGCAAGAACGGTGTAGAAACTCGTTCTCAATTTATATGCAAAAAAATTTGATTCTAACGAAAAAAGTGCTGCCCCCCTCCCTTTACCGAGAGTTTGGCATTACGGGGGGCTGGGGGGGTATTGCCAAAGCATCGAAGTGATACCATCTTTATAACAAAACGTCAAGAAACTTGATAAATAAAAAACAATCTGAATAAGGCCAGAAAACCGTTGGCCATCCACCTCGCCTTCAAAACCGTTCCAAAACCCGGGTTGAGTGAGGCCGGTGGTGACTAAGCCGGTGATGCGCAATCCGCGTGCTATAGGAGTGTCACGGGAAAGTGGGGAGCTTATGGCTAGCGCAGCGGCTGGTTCAGAACTTGAAATTCGGCAGGATTTGCCGGGCTTCGTGTTTTGGTGGTGGGGGGCTATAATGGCCCGTGGCTC